CTCTGTTTGTATCAGTGGAAACCAGGCCTCCTCTCCTAATCAAGGCTCCTTTTCTTTTTTCCTAAGAAAGTACCACCATGGGAAAAAAAAAAGAGAAAGGAAGAATTCATACTTGAGCAAGTCTAGGGAGTAGGGAGACCTGAGCTTAAGTCTATATAGGTAAGAAATAAAGGAAGGGCTGGAAGGAGAGTAGATAAGGAAGAGAACCATCTCCATTCATCCCTCACCCTCTCTGCTGAGAGGTGCCCTCTCAAAGCCAGAAGCTCGCTCCAAGCAGAAGGTACAGGAGGCAGCTGAGGCAAAGACCTGGATTTGAATCCTACTCTACCATTAGCTGTATGACCTTGAGCAAGCCCTGCTGAGCCTCAGTCTCTTTCTCTGTAAATCAAGGTTATTAATTGCTGGCTCACATGGGCCAAATGAGATATTAGAAGAAGGCACAGGTCATGGCACCTGCCACATTGTGAGTGATCAATAGATGTTCAAACCTGCACTCCTGGAGCAGTGGGGATCCTATGGGCGACTTCCTGGAGGGAAACATCATGGGAAAATTCAATCCAGGAACTGACTTCAAAAAAACCACTGCCATGGAGTCGATTTTGACACACAGTGACCCTATAGGACAGGGCAGAAGTACTGCTCCGTAGGGTTTCCAAGGCTGTAAATCTTTACAGAAGCAGACTACCTCATCTTCTGAGGAGCAGCTTGTGGGTTTGACTGACCTTTTAGTTAGCGGCCAAATGCTTTAACCATTCCGTGAGCAGAGTTCCTTTTAAGAACTGATTTAGCAGGACCTATTATAACCTGTAATAGGTCCACTAACTGAGTTAAAGCCAGTCCAGCCCAAGGCCTCTGGAGACTGGGGCAAGGGAGGGTGTCCCAGGTATACCAGGCCTTCTTGTCTGTCCCCAGCCAAGGAGCAAGGCATCATTTTATAGTTGTAGACACTGGCCAAACTCTGTTTGTGATGAGGCTTTCATACTGCCTGGGACAGTGGGCAGCGGGGGACAGGACTAACATGCCCCTCGTGCCTGCTCCCTTCCAGGTCAGGCCGCGGCAACAGAACCACAGCAGCAGCTACCCATGGGCCAACCACAGTGATGGGAGCAGGGTAAGCACCCCAGGCCAGGAGCCTGACTTAACAGGAATGGCTCTGGCTCCGAAGGCCAGGCCGGTAGCTAGGCAACAGGCTCCCATAATCAGCTCAGTTCCCTTTCCGTTTGTGTCTGTTTTGCTCCTGTCATACCACGCTACTCAAATGACCAGGCTGCTGTGTGAGAAGACACCTCGGCCGAGCACTAGCCACTGCCCTTATTCGCCCTCAGCGAGCATCCCCAGCCCCACCAATACACAGCATGGCTGCTCTCAGCAGCAGGCCCCTTCCAGGCAGTCAGCAGCTGAGGGAGGAGCTCATGGGAGGAAGGTTGCACACACACACCTAGGGGAACAGGGCTGGGGTAGGGAAAAGTAGTGGTATTGGCTTAGAGTAAGTGGAAGCGGGAGGGCTCTGCCCCAGGACCCCCTGCACAGCACTGTACCCTCAGGCCTAGAGGGCTAATGGAATAAGTTCCCTTTGGATGTCCCCATCTGCCCCTGGCTTTCCCGATGTCATCCATAGGAGGAACAGAACTTCAGAACACCTCCCAGGCCAGACTAAGAAATGAGCCACCTCTCCACTTCACAAACAACCTAGTTCAGAGGAAAGAATGTTTTGTAATCAGAAGATTAAGAGCTTGGGAGTCAGGGAGCCCTGGCTTTGATTCACAGCCCAGCCACTATCTAGCTGTGTGATCTAGGCAAGTTGTTTATCCTTGCATAGCCTCAGTTTCCTAATCTCTTGAATGGGGCTAATACCTCCCTTATAAGCTTAATGAGGATAATACCCCCCTCTTAACTTTCCTGGGAGGCTTAGAGATTAATGTAAATTACACAGCAAAGTATCTGTAATGGGCGTGCTCAATGAATAGCAGCTATTATTTATTACTTTTTAAAAATGATGTACTCCCACCATGTGTCCCACGAACAGCTGGAGGGCTTGCATTTACCTATGTTCCTTAGCAGTGGGCACATGCTCTTTTGGCATGTGTGCCAGCCAAGACTCCACTAAGCTATTCACATCAGTATTAAGGGCCAGAAGGTTGGAAATTAGGAGTGGTTTGCTGACCCTGCTACTACTAGTTGAATGTCTCTAGCAAGACACTAAACTCCTCTGAATCTTGGTTTCCTCACGGCTTAATGGAAAGAATTAATCCTGCTTTGCCCCAAACTTCAGGAGCTCTGGTTGCACAGTGGTTAAAGCATTCAGCTGCTAACCAAAAGGTCAGTGGTTTGAACCTACCAGCCAATTTGTGGGGGAAAGATAAGGTAATCTGCTTCCTTAAAGATTTACAGCCTTGGAAATCCTATGGAGAAGTTCTACCCTGTCCTATAGGGTCACTATGAGTTGGTATTGACTAGATGGCAGTGGATTTGGTTTTAGGTTTTGCCCCAAACTTTAAACCTCAACTGGAATGCCCTGGCTGATGTGATTCCATGTCAAAAAGGGAAAATATTTTGGGTTCCACAACTGTTGAGGACTCGGCTCCTAACTGAAAGGCTGGCAATTTAAACCTACTCCAATGGCTCTGTAAGAGAAAGAGCTGGAGATCTGTTTCAGTAAAGATTGCAACCAAGACAACTTTATTGGACAGGTCTATTCTGTCACATGGGGTGACCATGAGCAAAAAAAAAAGTCAACTTAACAGCACCTAATAACAAAAACAACATCTTGGGCTCCTTGAGGGCTCCAAGAGCCAGACCAAGCTCTGAGCTTACTCATAGAGCCCCCTGGGTGGGCCACTCTGCTGTGAATTGAGGAGGAAAAAAAAAAAAGACAAAACAAAACTGATTGATGGTACAGTCCCCTGGAATCCCAAAGGAAAGGACCCAAGCAGGTGGAAAGCCCCCAGGGATGCCAGAAGACTCAGAAAGAGGGTCTGGCTCTCCTAGCCACCTCATCTCATTTCTACCTCTCTGGCTTGTCCCCTTTCTCCATCTCTACCAAGCTAAATATGCCTCCTCCTACTACTTGCTTTCAAAGAGTCTGGATTATCTCTGGATTATGTGCTTGTCTTTCTCCACTGGTAACAGCCAGCCAAGAGCTGACACTAGCAGGTTAGTTTACTGCTTGTGAAGCCCATGGCGCTCACAGCAGGCCCAAGCCAGGGGCATTACTATGCCTTTACCTTCTGAGCTGTAAGGAAAGAAATGAAGGCAGCTGACCCTGACTTTGTACTCAGTCCTGAATTAGGTCCCTGCCTTCCAGTGGCTGCTTTTCAGTGCCTGCAGCCCCAGCCTGGAATGTACAGCCCCTGACACTTCCCTTCTCTTCCAAGGCAGGAGACATCTGCCTTGGTCAAGTATGTATGGCACCTTGGCTCCACCTTGTAGCCCCATCTCCCAAACTCCTCACCTCCCCTGGGTGGGGAAGTGAACTTCTCCTTCCATGAGTGGGTAGAGGCTCAGCACAGGTGCTGAGGAAGGTGGCAAGGATCTGAGACTCATTAACATGACAACCTGGGATGCCAGAGGTGACAACCAGCAGGAAGCAGTCCAGATCCAACAAATCATGTTGCTTTTTCCTGTGTCCCAGACAGACCCCAGCCAGGCCTGAGGATGCTGGCCATAAGATCAGACCCCAACCCCCAGGGCCTTCTTTTTAAAGAATTTAAAGCCATGAGAAGGAATCCAGTGGACAGCAACTGTTTTTTTTTGTTTTGTTTTGTTTCATTTTGTTTTTGGTGAAGCCATCCTTTAGGGGTTGGTTTGTTTGTTTCAAGCTGCCCAATTGTAACGGGAGAGTGTCTTTCCCACTTCCTCCTTACCTGTAAAGGGATTAAAGTGGTATAGCAGTTAAGGCATTTGGCTACTAATTAAAGGTCTGTGGTTTGAACCCACCCAGCCACTCCACAGAAGAAAGATGAAGCGATCTGCTTCTGTAAAGATTTACAGCCTTGGAAGCACAATGGGGCGTCACTATGAGTTGGAATCGATGGTTTTGAGATTGGTTTTTTTTTGAGAGGGTGTTTGGTGGGAAGGGACGAGGTGTTGCCTAAATCAATCTGTTCCCCCAGCCCCATATACCCATTTCAAGTAACCTGAACCACGGCTTTCTGGGAAATCAATTTGTGCTGCAGCAGTAAAAAAAGAAGTGGCAGCCTGTGACTTGTCACTAGCTGTAGAAGCTTGAAGAACCCAGAACACTAGACCCTTCTTGTCTCTCTCCTCACTCCAGCTGAAGCCAGGTCATGCCAGGGGCACTGCCTGCCAGGTGTGTCCTTGAGGATATGGCATCGGGCAAGCATCTTGACTTACCAGTCTGACCCTGTCAGAAAGGCCTCTCCTAAACCTGGACGGGAGGCCTGAGTTCTGGTCCCAGCTCTGCCTCTTACGAACTGAAGATGCTGAAAGCCTGTGTCCCCTCCTTTAAAACTGATGGTTCCTAGTACACTGAGCTGCTCCTAAGATTGAAATGAGGTGGCATGCATGGAAGCACTGAGCCTGCCACACAGAAGGCACTAAACATACTCTAGTTTTCTTCTCTAAACCCTGTTTGACTTGAGCAGAAGGCCTAATTCCAGCTCCCCAAAACTGGACCTGTGGAGGAGTGGAGGACAGCTGGAGATGGGTGGCTTGTGCAGACCAGAGGAGACCAGATAAGTGGGTGGAAGAGCTGAGCTGAGGGCACCCCACTCTCTGGGAGGGGATGCCGCAAAGCAGACAGCTGGGATTAGATCCAAGTAGTAAGTGAAGTGTGTGCCATCTCCTGAGGAAGCGTGCTGGGAGAGGGTGGGAGTGTGTAATTCCCCAGAGGGCCCAAGTAAGCCGAAGTGAACCCGGAGGTGGGGGGGAGGCGGAAATACCCGCCAGGGTAAGGTAAATCACAGTCATGGTTCCTTCTCCTTCCTGTCCCTACCCACCACCGCCATTGCCCCTAAAAGACCCGGGATCCTGCCACTCACCCTGGCCGCCCGAGAGGAGTAAGGATCCTCGAAGAGGGCCCACATGCGAGGCTGCCAGCCGCGGCAGCCCCCGGGCCCAGCACCGGGACCCGCGCCGCCCTCGTGGGGGCCCAGGCGCTGCAGGGCCAGCTCCCGCTCATCGTCGCCGGCCTCGTCGCTGGGCCCCGTGCCGCCGCCGCCTCCGTCCGGGCTCTCGAAGATGTCAAGCGCCTCCTCGGCGTCTCGGTGCTGTCGGTATGTCATCCAGCAGCAGGGCTCCACGTCGGTCTCATCGATGCCCCAAAAGGTAAGTTCCTCCTCGAAGAGCGGCCCGCACACGTCGGCTGGGCAGTGCAGCTTGCCTGTGCGGTAGTAGTTGAGCACGTAGGAGAAGACGCCTGGGTGCCGATCAAAGAAGAACTCGCAGCCCCCGCCGCCGCTGCTGCCTGCACCGCCGCCATCGGACTCGGGTCGGCCCCCGCCGTCGGGATCCGCCAGCCAAGCGAGGCGGGTGCCCGGTAGGGTGCGCAGGGTGCTGCGGTAGGTCTCATGTCGCGTGCCGCCCACGTTGATGATGATCTTCTCCGACGCCTCTCCCTTGGCCATCTCTTCCTTCAGACATGTTTTGGACGGAGGCTTGTTCCCCGACTTGCGCCCGCGGTAGGAGGAGACACACACCGAGCTGATCATAAGAAGCGCTGCGGGGCTCCGGCTTAGGGCGGCCGCTGCCCTCCAAACACCCTTCCCGAGGAGGCAGCGTCAGACGGGGGAGGGGGAGGAGACGAGGAGGAGGCCGGAGGCAGGAGGAGGTGGCGGCCCCCTCTGCGGCTTGGCCCTGCCCCTGCCTCCCCCCCGGGGCGCGGAGCGGGAGGAGTTGGGTTTGTCGGGTGCACAGGTGGTTGAGGTTGGGGCAGGCAGCGCCAAGGAGGGGGACAAGAGATGGAGAGGTGGGCCGAGAATCCAAGTGAGGGTCCTGGGGAGGCAGGGGTAAGCACACACACGTTCTGCTGCGAGAATAGGGCAAACAGACTCTCGGGGCCGCGACACGCCCCCCTCCACCCCACCCCCAAAAGACAAGGTAGCGCACAGTCCAGGCGCACTGCGAGGGGCCAGGACGCGCGCGCGCTCACACTCACGCGGGCCACCCTCTGGCTCCCAGACCGCATCGAGCTCCAGGAGCTGCTGGTTTCCCCCCGCGGCTGTAGCGCAGCAGCAACAAGTCTTCCAAGCGGCTTCCAGGACCTGGGCGACGCTCTCACCGAAACTGAAGCTTCGTTGGCCCGGGCTGCGTACGGTCAACACCAGGCGGCGGCGGCGGCGGCATGTGGCCTCTTCCCCCCATTCATAAATCCAGCGCTGGGCACGGGTGGCGGGCGGGGCTGAGTGGAGTATTGCGGACCCGCGGGCGGGGGCTGCGCAGGGCGAGGCGGCTGCAACGGCAGGAAAACAAGCGCGCCAGCAGGAGCGAGCCTTGAGTCCTACGTCCGCGGCCTGTCGGCGTCTGGGAGCAGGACTAGGCTGGGAGCAGCGCTGCGGGGGCCGCGCCGGGGCGGGGGGGGGCCTCAGACGGGGCGTCCTGTGCAGCGCGGAGCCGGAGGGCGGGGCCGCTCCGGGGAGCGCGGCTCTGGGCTCTGGCGAAGCAGTCCCCCGGGTGGCGGCGACCGAGCGGCCAAGGACACCTGCAGGCTTCCCGAGCCGCTCCGAGCGGGAGCCTCAGCGCAGGGCCCCGGCGCCGGGCTCCTGCGATCGGGCGGCGCTGGGAGCCGAGCCATCCACGCGTCTACCCATCTCTGGGCGGAGAAGTGGCCTAGGGGAGGGGACGCTTGGGAGCCGGTGGGCAGGGACTCAGGGGGCTCCTGGTCTCCCTCCTGCGATGGCTGCGGATGCCACGCTCCAGTGGCGCCTTTTCCTCCCGGCCCCGCCTCGCCCGGGCGCGCCCTCCTCGGGCGGGGTGGTTGGGGCGCGGCGCGGGGCCAGTCCCGTGAGCTGCAGGGATCTCGCGGCGGAGCTCAGTCTGCCTCCGCCGAGCAGAGCCAAGCTGAGGCGCGTAACCCCCTCTTCGCCAGCGCACATCCCTGCGCACCGCCCCTGCGCGCCTCCGCCACCATCCCCTCCCGCCCCCTTTGGCCCCGCTTGCGGCCTCCCCGGAGCCCGCAGCTCCTCCCACTGCAGCCCGCTGACACTGAAGCGCTCTGGACCCCTGACTTCTAACCTCGGCCTCGCCTCTACCCGCCTCTTCTGTCTGCGCCGGTCGCCCCCTCCCCGCCTAACTGATCGTATTGTTGCCATTTCACTGCGGCTGACTGGAGGCCGGGAAAGGTAGAGGATGGGGAGACGGTGCCGCCAAAGGGAGGCAGCCCCCCGCCCCAGACACCATATTGGAGCCTCTTGACCACCTCTCCACCATCGTGCGCCTTAATGCCCAAGCAAAGCCCAAGATGTCCGTGGTCTTGATGCTACTGCCTCAGTCACAGTCACCGAGTCCCCGCGCGACAGAATGGGGGACAGGGCAGCCTTGGGCAGAGAAGCGGCTCCTTTCCTGGATGAAAGGAAACCAGAGCCCTGGGTGGGGGTGGGGTGGGGTGGCAAGTGGCCCTGAAAGATCATTCTGCTAAAACCCTTGCTCGTTGCTTTCTGTTGCTCTGGGGGGCAATAGAAGTGCCTGTCTTGTGACCCCCTCCTGCTTTTACTGTTGTTTCCCTCATTGCAATTTGACTTTGCCAGAGCCATGCTTCATCTCCCCTCACTGACCCTGAGCTCCTCCAGCCTGCACTGAGCTTTTTCATCCTGATAGCTCCCATGGTGCCTTCCTGGGAGAATCTATCTGCTAAGTGATTGAGAAGCTGCCATGCCCAAAACATTAGGCACCAACCTGACTTTTCTGGCTCTGTCCCAAGAGCCATTTCCATATCCATTTTTGTTTTTGAATCCAGAACCACTTTTACATCTTTAATTCCTGGTTTTTCACAGTTTAAGGCAGCTTTCATGCCTGTCTGGGTGATGAAAGGAGGATTTTAAGGCATAAATGCAAAGTGGTTGACACATCTGCCCTGGACACCTGTGTACCATTCACTTTCCAGCTCAGGCAATGACAAGGTATACTGGAAAAAACAAGACAATGGCCTAGATGTACTCTGAGGAAAGGTCAAAAGCCCAGTGCAAATGCAAGGGATTCTTAAATGTTGTTAATCAAGTCAGAAAACCAAAATAGCAATAAGTTTTGATGACCTGTACTAATATGTTGTGGAGGCAGGCACCATCCTGGACTATAGTCTGAAATGGACGTTTGCTGGCACCCTCTTTGTGCCCAGTTCCTCACCCCTAGACCGGATATCTGTATTTCAAAGTTTAGCTGGCTTTCAGTTTGCCATAAAGAAAAAGAAATACTCCAAATACAATTGACCAGAGAAGACTCAGGACTGGCCAGAAACTGGGATGAGGAAGGAAGAACCACAGAGGGGATACTCAAAATTGACCTTTAAAGCCCTATTTGAACTGTGTCTTGGCAAACTCCCCTGGGGTCCTTAGTCTTCTTTCCATTCCTCCAGCAGCCCAAATTCAGTAATTTCCCCAAAGTAGGAGAAAGGTGGTTCATGGGAATGGGGCAGGAAAGGGGCAAAGACCTTTACAGCATCCCACACTTGATTCATTTATTCATTCAATAAATATTTCTTGAGTGCCTACTTCATGGCAGAAACTGTTCCAGGCACCTCTCCTCCTCCTCCAATAAGTCTCTCCTCTCCTGGGGCTTTCATTCTGCAGTATTTGTAGACAAATGTGATGAGCACCTTGAGAGATAGGAGAAGGGAGAAAGATGTCCGGGAAGGAGGCCTGGAAGGGAGGTCACAAAACTGGGGTGTTATTGGGGGGCCCAGGAAAAGACAAGGAAGGCAGAGTCTAGCCTGGGAGAGGTAGCCCACTGAAGGTGATCTGGGTGGGAGGACCCCTGCCAGTCCTCCTGGAAAGGCAAACTCGGCCTAAAGCCAGAGGCTTCCAAAGAAGGCCTCACTCATCACTTGCTGCAGATTTTATTCTAGATCCCTGGGCTAACCTGTTACATGGGCCTTTCGGGTCTTTTCTGGGAGAGTCAGTGTGCTGCAGTTAGCCTAATATGGCTTATGTCCATTACTCTTCTGTTTGTGAGATCATGATACTCCCCAAAGCACAGAACTCAGGAAGGAGCATCCCTTGCCCAACCTCTGTGATAGCCTACCATGGATGAGTGTGTGCTGCCCCCTGGTGGTGATAGGAGACTCCAGCCCTTCCTTCAGCTCAACTCCAACTCCAAAAAGGGAAAAAAAAAAAAAAAACCCTCCTAAACCATTGTTGTTAACACACAGTACTGCATTGTCAGTGAAGGC